ATCTGTCTCTTGTTCTTGTAGTTCTTGACACAACTCAAGTTTAGATTTTGCTCCCATGACCAGAAAGCAAGACTTTTTTCCTCAGTAGCTGATAAGCTCATGTCTTAACACTATAACCACATTAGTAAGAAAAATCATTCTAAGAGGAAGGAATCAAAATGTGTGTGTCTCTGGCTTGGGTAATTGCAGTAGTTGGGGAAGGGTGGATATGCTGAAGTTATTGACTGAGACGGAATGCTGGAGAGGATAGCAGGTTTGGAGACCCGGGAGGAAGTGAAAGAATAGGTTCAACCTCAGGTGAGAAGCATGCTGTGCAGGCAAGGAATCTAGTCCAGAGGTCCTGTAGGCAGCTGATTGTATTCGTCTGGCATTTAGAAAGTCCAAGTCTAGCCGGGCGCGGTGGCTCAAGCCTGTAATCCCAGCACTTTGGGAGGCCGAGGCGGGTGGATCACGAGGTCGAGAGATCGAGACCATCCTGGTCAACATGGTGAAACCCCGTCTCTACTAAAAATACAAAAAATTAGCTGGGCATGGTGGCACGTGCCTGTAATCCCAGCTCCTCAGGAGGCTGAGGCAGGAGAATTGCCTGAACCCAGGAGGCGGAGGTTGCGGTGAGCCGAGATCGCGCCATTGCACTCCAGCCTGGGTAACAAGAGCGAGACTCCGTCTCAAAAAAAAAAAAAAAAAAAGAAAGTCCAAGTCTAGAAAATAAACCTGGGTATCCTCAGAACATAGAACTACTCTTTTTTGGTCCTAATCGTTCTAAAAAAGTTTTTGGTAAGTCTAATTTGGTACAAATGAAAAATGTATTTAAAGATGGCAACTAATAGTTCTATTTCATATTTCATCTCACTCCTAATGTATAAAATCAAGCTCAAATGACTATTCTCATGTCCTGCAAGTTTTCTGGAGATCATTACTGTTATCTGAACTATTTAACACAAACCCTCACATAGTATTTTCTACTCCTATTTGGTATCCTAGGCCCTTCTCTATGTTTCGTTGCTAGCAAAATGTACCTCATTTTAAGAACAATGAAGTCGGATAAAGAGCAATTAAAATTGTAGGAATAGTACATCACTTTTATCACACCGTGTTAAACTGTTGCTTACATTCATCCTCCCCTCCACATTTACATTCTCTCCTTCCTTATCGGTCACCATCTCATGCATTTTTTTTGTCTGGTCCATAATAAGCAATCAAAAAACATACATGCCCGGGGAACAATGAAAAGCTAGGGGAATAACAGGCAGCATGACTTTTCTCATATACAGCATATTGTAGCGCTATATATAGTATGCTGGTCTGAGTATTTGACTTGGTTAAATAACTTACATGTGTTTTAACTGTCACTGCCTCTATGCAGTCATTGTTATTATTTGAGAACATATCTCATCGTCCGGCTATGTTTATATCACAAGCACTATTAATTGTTTTTGCTTCCCTCACAGTGCCAGCCACTCGAAGGCAAACGAAGTATTGGGTTGGTGCAAAAGTAATTTGTGATTTTTACCATTAAAAAAAAAAAGGGCAAAACCCGCCATTACTTTGTACCAACCTGTCTAATTAACACTTTAACTCCTTCAAGTTATACAGCATATAAGTGATTAAAATGTTGATAATATTTTAAGTTCTGCTTTAAAGAGCAATTATGAGAAAATAGACTTACCAAAGATGTCTTTATAGTGTGCACCTTTCTGAAAATATTACTTGGCTTTTAAAGAATGTCATTTGTATATACTTCAAGAATACAGTCATTACGTAAAGGAACTACACTTGGATTAAATGTCAGCCCTTGGCCTAAGAGAGGTAGTGAAGTTACAGGGATGCAGTTTATTCTTCCTGAGCAAGAGCTAGGAAGGTTTCCAAGTAGGATCAAGATGGAAAACCAGTCATCAATAGCAACTTTATCTTAAGATTTTAACTGGTCATATTTCCCTGTTCATAAACTCACTCGAGAGTCTACTCTGTAAACTTTTTTTTTTTTCAAGTTACATAGAAATATTTAGGGTTTCATGTCTGGGTTGTTACAGTTAAGACTCACAGAAAACTTTCCCTTGTGCCTATAAACAAGGCCATTTTCTGTTTTCTAGTGACAGTAAAAAATGCATTTATATGCTATAATAAATCAGTTATAACTGGTGCTGACAAAACATTTTTTAATGTATGTACACTTTGTAGCATTTTTTGTATTTGGAAAAATGACCAGATCCAGACTATGATTAAACCAAAATCTGAGAAAACCACCTCTTCCGGAGGTAGCATTCATTTTTATGGTGTAGACATTACCTCCCTATCATATATTACATCTTCCCATATATAAGTGATACATACTTCTTTAGGATTTTCTAGGCAATTTTAGATTTATAAATTTAGAGCATAAAAAGGTAAAGACCCAGATCTGTTGGTCAAATCAAAGTTTTCTTCTCAAAATAATCTTACCCTCTGCATTGGAAACTATATAGCAATTTATATGCCAGGCTTATTAACATTATTTGGAAAAATATATGAGGCCATGAGTTGGATGAGGAACCAACCGATCTCAATTTTCCGTTGAGTTCTGCCGTCTACTCACAAAGTAGATGACTTTTGTGAAGTCATTGGCTGTCAGGTATACAAATTGAACCGATTTAAGCTCTCATAGTACAGAAAACTTGTTTGGCATACAAGTCTTCTGGAAATAACTGGTATACTTTACTGCTTATATTTCCGTAATTCATTATACTTTTAAAGTTTTTTTATACCTGTGAAGATGAACAACTCTATTGTTCAACCAGTTTTGTTGCCTTTAAACATATTCTAGAACAGGTAAGTTTGTCTCAACTCATTCCAATTCTTCCTTTTTGTCAAAATTCTTTCTGATATTTGGCATCAAACTGACCAAACACTACTTTTAATTTTAAAAGTCAGCATTCCTTGTAACTCTAATTCTATTAGGTAGTAACTTTAAAAAAAAAAAAAAAAATCCTTTCTTCAGCAATTTAACAAAGCTCTGGCTTAATCCAGATATATTACTTACCTCTCTAGGCCTACACATTAATTTTCTTTAAGAATGCCAAAGGTCATCTAATCCTTGTTACAACATTTTTTGAGAAAGGAAAAAATCTATCTATATCTTTAAAGATACTTTGGAAAGGAAAAGAACACAGTGTGTTTTTAAATCTTACACGTTTCAATAAAATCCAAAGTCCCTTGCTTCATACCGTATCACTTGGAAGAATTTTTAAGCATTGTAAATGGCATTTAACCAGACTTTATAATACGAATCCTAATGGTAACACACATATATTCACCTAAGTTGTGTCACAGGTAATATACGTGTTAAAATACCTGCACTAAGTTCTAGTTCACGTGGATATGCAGAAAATACACAACACAACACACACTCCTTTATTTAAAACAAGGGAAAGCACCATCATTCTTGGGGGAAAAAGTCCTCACCCCTTTCCTTAGCCACACATGAGGCACAGGAGGCTCCATCCTTGAATGAATGAAAGGTCAAAGAATTCTCACACAGTAAGGACCGTTGATTAGTAATTAAATAATGACATCCACAAGTCAAACTTGAGCTGTTTTAATTACATAATTTTACACATAAATTCCTAGTTAGCTAGATTTATTTGGTTATTCTGAACGGCCAAATAAATCTACAGTACACCACAATTATTTCTCCCACACATGACCAATAGCTAAAAATGTCAAAAACCTATTGCCATACAGAACCATACTTTCTATGTTACGGCCTGGGGGTTAGCTTCCACATGCCACATTTCTATCATGCTCTTCAATGCATTATGCAAGCCAGAAAACTTTAAAGAAACAAGTAAAAAAAGTATGAAAAACAATCATTCATGTATTTTATTATAAAAGTGTGCTTTATTATAAGGAAAATTTAAATATAACCAACAATACTGAAAATAACGTAAACGGCATTGATAGCCTTGGTCAAAGTTCTTTATTAAACAGGCGTTTGCTGTTCCATGAATAGTTAACAATTAGTTTATGCAACAAAATAGATAACTTGAAAAAGTGAGTAAGAATACAGAATGATGAACTAGGAATCTGGGGTTCTTTTGTGTTTTTTCTTGTTTAACAGACACGGCTTTTAAAATAAAATCTGAAATATAAAACAAGTCATCTTCATGTAGAGGCTCTCTTTTCCTACGAGAAGGTTTTCCAGTGTTCTAAAATGTGGCTGAAGTTATACTTTACATACTTTATTAACTTCTTATATATACATTATCCAATTAACATTCTAGCCACATTTTCATATACAAGTGGGACCATAAACATTTCTCTAGTTAAGACTACACTAGCACAGAATAATTTTACCCATGTATATGTATTCATTTGAAACCTGTTTCCCAAAATGAAATCGCTCATTTAAAAGCAAACAACTGGTTAGAATTAACGTCTCTAGACAATGGGTCATGGGGCCTAGAAATCATGTAAGAGTATATTGCTTTGGTTGAATATAATTAAATTCATCTTATGTGGCAGCATACTAAGCACATCAAAGAACAATGAAAATCTAGTACATCTGAGTTCATTCTGCACTAATTTCAACTATGAGTCTACTTTAAAGCAATGGCAAGGCCTAATGGTGTATGTGATACGGGGAGAAATTCATTTTGTCTTTATATAGGATTATACTCACAAAAATTTATTTGTCACCCTAGGGGGATTTTTTTTTTTTTTTTTTTTTGAGACAGAGTTTCACTCTTGTTACCCAGGCTAGAGTGCAATGGCGCGATCTTGGCTCACCGCAACCTCCGCCTCCTGGGTTCAAGCAATTCTCCTGCCTCAGCCTCCTGAGTAGCTGGGATTACAGGCACGAGACACCATGCCCAACTAATATTTTTTTGTATTTTTAGTAGAGATGGGGTTTCACCACATTGACCGGGATGGTCTCAATCTCTTGACCTCGTGATCCACCTGCCTCGGCCTCCCAAAGTGCTAGGATTACAGGTTTGAGCCACCACACCCGGCCGGGGTGGGGGGGGCGGGGGATGTTTTTAAGAATAAAAAAAAACAAAAAACAAACTGCACTGGCTGCTGGTCAATGAGACTGTGGGTTGCAACCATCCTAAGAAAGAAAAGAAACCCAAGGGAACAGATGTCTGTCTGCAAAGGACTGTCTTGTGTAGGCCTAGTAAAGAACAAAGAAATCAACTGTGGGCATGCTGATAAGGATCCCAAATTATTTTTGGTATAGGAGAGTTTTTTAAAATATAAGATCTTAGAATAAAGAATACAAAAAAAGTCAGATCTTAAGTTTAAATCACTTTTTTAAAAATGTTGTGACATTTAATGTCAAGACCAAATTTTTAAAGATATAGAATATAGAGAACTGTAAAATGAAAAGGAAGCAGATATGTCCTTGATGAGTGAAAAAAGCATTAATGATCTCTCATCTAAAAGACTGTTTTCCTTATTATCATAATGACTAAATTGCCTATCCATAAAACCACTGGAATATGTAGGTTACTGACATTATGCCAAAGAAGTCAAAATGTACTTTATTGCAAAAATATAAAAAGTTTTAAAATTGCATATGATGTTTTATACCACTTCACCAAGAGGCCAAGGCCAGCACATAACTTATCAAGCTAGAAAACTGTAAAACAAAAATGATTAGAATTTTACCATGTATGAGTTATAAAAAAATGTGATGCCATGCTGTGCAGCATGTTTAACTGCCAAGTGCCCTCTTACATGGGGACAGTCACTAATATGATATCAGTCTGAATAAGTAAAACACATATAGCCTATGAGAACATCCTTTAATTGTCTTCTTAAACACAGATACTTTCTATATATTACAATCACTTTAATAAACCTTTCGGTCATAATTTTATGGAGTACAAAGTCATTTTATCAGTATGTTGATTTTTTTCTGAACTACTCTTTAGAAAGTGATGTTAAAGCCTACTGACTATTAAATCCCTACTGTTTATTGATACATTGTAAATGTAAAAAAAGGAAAAAACCTGAAATCACAGAAAATGCTTGGCATCTACACAAACACATTCTCAGTGGACTAACCACTACTGTGTAATTTTGTCACTACAGGTCTTCCTGCTCCATACTTTTGCTTCATGCAGTGGGTTCAATAATATCCATGTTTGTTCCAAACAAGGCAACTAATTGTTCTTCATAGGTGGTGATGTTCCTTTTCATAATTTCCATGCAAGGTCCCAAAAGCCTTTCAAATGCTTGCACATCCATGGCTAAGAAAAGAGAAGAATCTTTTTTAAAACATTCTTTGCAAATCTACAGAATTTCTGTCATTTATGATACCCATTCCATACATATCAATAATACAATGATATTTTAGGTAAATACCATAAAATACAAGAAAAAGCATAAAGATAAAAATGTTCCACTTGAAAAAGGAAGCAGCCAGGGCCACACTCTTGGGCCACTCTCTCCAGTCCCTCGGCAGTATGATGAGCAATGATAAGTTGGTGGGAGGTCCCTGGTCCAAGCTGAGAAAAGAATGAAGGACTATCATGGGAAGACCTTAGGATTTTAAAAAAATAAATGTGCTGTCTCCACCTTAGCAATGTGAACTCCTCAAAGGTGGCACAGGAGTGTTCTCTATCTTGTGTTCCCTTCTTAGGATTTAAATGCCATGTTGTGCAGGTCAAGTGTTACCTTTCGGAATTTTTACTCCCATACTATCGTCTATGCAACCCAAAAATGGCAGCTGACATAATGCTTTTGTTTACTTCTGTAAGTACATGCTATAAATCACTTTGCTTGCCTATTTCCTGGATTTTAAAACTAAATTTATAATATACAGATAGAAAATATGGTCATACTCTATTCATAAAAATACAAATTAAAACATATCTTCTTTGCCTTTCAAATTTGCAAACGTAGAAAAGGCAATGTTTACAAGAATAGGGTGAATGGGCGTTCTGGTGCTACTAGTAGCATGTATATTATTAGTACAAATAAAAGCAATCTGGCAATGTGTGTCAAAAGTTAATTTTTTAAAAACCCACTCCTAAAAACCATTTCTAAGGAAAACTATATACAGAAAAGCCTTCTATACACAAAAAAATTGATCCCCACCAAAAAGTTGGAGCTAAAACTTTCCAAGTATTTACCAGTGAGGAAAAACTAATTTATCATATATAACATTTACCTTAAAAGAATTTTAAAATTTGGTGTAATAAAATAGGAACATTCCTTAGCCAGAATGAACTTTAAAAGCTGTTTGGAAAACTGTTTAACAACTGAGCCCATACAAATAAAAAAGACAAGAAGGAATTGTAATAGTAGAAATCACTGAGTGGCGGTGGTGTGAGGGATTCTTAGCTTTTCCTACATTTTCTATATTTCTCAGGTTTTCTTTAACGTGAATATAATAATCTAATATGGAAAAAAATTAACAGAATTTCACTCACCTCACCTTTACTCTTTCTAATAGCTCTACTTAGGGGATTACCTGTCAGTTTCTAACTGTATTCTCTTCCATCCAAATGTAACACTTGATTAATATCATACTATCTAAAACCTTTTAAAGAATGACTTCTCTAAGAATTCTAATGATCCTTGCAAATCTTAAAAACATTAAAACTAAGTTTATTCTATTGAATTATGGATGAAAAGCATGGAGAGATAATTACTGTAGAATCAATTTTCTTAAAATACCATCCATATTGCCACCTCCTGAACTATATTTTCTTATTAAAGTAAGTGATTTCTCAGATTGAAAATCTCAGATATAAGATATATATAGATGTCTGCAGCTGAAGACGGCATTTCTGCCAAGCTACTCTTATAAAACAGTAATAACTCTTACAAAATAGTAATAACGGCTGAACAGCAAAGAACATTTGTTCTTTGACAAACCTGCACCTTTGTGTCCCAGTACTCTAATGAGCAAGGATTCTCACAATATCCCAGCATTCTCCTTACATCTTAATAGTGGACTTTATAAAAATAGTACCTTAGCCTTCTCTTTTGAGGAACGCAGCGCATGTTGCTTATCTGAGAGATTCCATATAAAACGTGGTACTTGGAATTCTAATGACTAATATGAGATGTTATTTCATACATACACAAAAGAGCAAACTAGATCTGTATGTAAAAATTACAAAGAGGAAACGGCTTCCACAAATTTATTTTTATAAAGCAATGAATCCTAATCTTGTTATCTTTTGTGGGGACCACAAAAGTTATGAACCCAATAAAATGATCCATTCAACACGAACACATAAAACGCAGACAGAAGTTCAACCAGGAGAAGAACCCCCGTTGTTGCAAACCCTACCTAAACATTTGACAGTCCCAATGGCGTGTGCAGAAGCTGCTCGAGGTTTGTTAGTTACCAGGGCAAGCTCTCCAAAGTACTGTCCTCGCGAGCATCGAGCGATTTCTACTGCATCATTCTCTTCCACTTCTGATTTACCCTGCCAAGGCAATTAAAAGATGAGCTTTTACTCAACTTCTGAAAGATAAAATTAACCTTAAGTCTAAACATCAAAAAGTAAATCTGTTATGTTCCTTGCTAATAGTATGTGGGTTTTGAGGACTTAGAATGCTTACCTTTCTTTTCATAGTTATTTTCACTTCTCCAGATTCTACAATGAAAAAAGAATCAGCCGAATCTCCCTATCAGAATAAATAACAAAAATAGAAGGTGAAAATGCAAATTAATTTGACAACAATCTTGTTACCTTTAATATCCCTAAAACTGATCCAATCCCAATGTACAGATATTCACCTGAAAAGTGATATGCAATGGGAACAGGGCATCTCAGTTTCTAAATTGAGAGGTTTTGATGGACAATTGTGTAGTAATAATTTTGTTTGTAAAATTATTTGAAATAATACATTATTTTTTGTTTGTTTGTTTTCAAGATGGGGTTTTGCTCTGTCACTCAGGCTGGAGTGCAGCAGCGTAATCTTGGCTCACTACAGCCTCCACCTGCCGGATTCAAGTGGCTCTCCCACCTCAGCCTCCCAAGTAACTGAGATTACACGTGTGTGCCACCATGCCTGGCTAATTTTTTTCCTTTTTTAAAAATTTTACTTTAAGTTCCGGGACACATGTGCAGAACATGCAGGTTTGTTACATAAGTATACATGTGCCACCGCAGTTTGCGGTACCTATCAACCTGTCATCTAGGTTTTAAGCCCTGCGTGCATTAGGTATTTGCTCTAATACTATCCCTCCCCTTGCCCCCGACCCTCCAACAGACCCCAGTGTGTGCTGTTCCCCTCCCTGTGTCCATGTGTTCTCATTGTTCAACTCCGAATTATAAGTGAGAACAAGTGGTGTTGGTTTTCTATTCCTGTGTTAGTTTGCTAGGAATGATGGCTTCCAGCTTCACCCACCTCCCTGCAAAGGACATGATCTCATTCTTTTTCAGAGCTGCCTAGTATTCCATGGTGTATATGTACCACATTTCCTTTATCCAGTCTACCATTGATAGGTATTTGGGTTAGTTCCATGTCTTTGCTATTGTAAATGGTGCTGCAATATACATGTGCATATGTCTTTATAGCACAATGATTTATATTCTTTTGGGTATACACCCAGTAATGGGATTTCTGGGTCAAATGGCATTTCTGCCATCAAAAAGTGAGCAAAAGTTATGAACAGGCACTTCTCAAAAGAAGACATTTATGTCACCAAAAAACATATGAAAAAAAGATCATCATCACTGATCAATAGAGAAATGCAAATCAAAACCATATTGAGATACCATACCATGCCAGTCAGAATGGCAATTATTAAAAAGTCAAGCAACAGTAGATGCTAGCGAGGCTACAAATAAACAGGAATGCTTTTGCACTGTTGGTGGGAATGCAGATTGGTCAACCATTGTGGAGTACAGTGTGGCGATTCCTCAGGGATCTAGAACCAGTATTATTTTTTGTTGTTTTGTATTTTTATTAGAGATGGATTTCACCATGTTGGCCAGACTGGTCTCGAACTCCTGACCTAAATGTGATACACCTGCCTCAGCCTCCCGAAGTGTTGGGATTACAGGCATAAGCCACTGCACCTGGCCTAGAAATAATATATTCTCTGCCACTGTATTTCTGCTAAAAACCAAGAAAATGTGACAAATAACACTGGGGTAAGAATTTCACCCAAATTTCAGCCTAGATAACAGCATACATAGTTAGAAATGGCAACACTGCTGTGTATCCCGCCAGTGTTCCCTTAGTTGGCAGAAATATGCCTACAGATCCTGTGCTCCTGAGGAAGTGCCGAGACGTCTACCCTGTGTCCTTCTAACATCACAAGCATTGGCATGGTGACCCAAGATAACCCATCAACTCGCAAAGAGCAGAAAGCACCCAGATGGGGCTGGAAGCAGCAGATGTGGGCCTTGACATTTTCACTACAGACAACTGAGGACCAAACTCTGACATGCTAGCCTATTGACATTCCATTTCAAGGATTTGGAAGGACTTCTAAAAGAGAAGTGTTGCTATTTCTAACCATATACCTGGTTCTTTCTTATTTTTGTTGCTTAATGAACTCTGCCTTGATCTCCAATGATGCAGTCTGCATTAAACAATACAATATGGAAGATAATACAGACACTGACTTTACTAAGCCTCTCAAAAGTGATTCTGGAGAAACTTAAACTATTGCAAAATTCTTTAATACAAATTCAAGAAATTTAGCATCTGACTATCACAAAAATAAATGTTGAATTTAGATTTTTAGAATAGTGTACAGATATGTATATTTATAAATGCTTAAAAGACAATGACTATGTAAAAATATACTTGATAAACCCTAAGTATAGCATATCTCCTTTTCCCTTATTTTTATATCAGGTTTTCATAAAAGCTTCATGTTACATTTTCAAGTGTTTTGAATCATAATAGATCTATTAACTGCTGAGTAATTTTTAAACAATTTTTAAAGCATGCCCTAACCGTATGTAAAACTGGTGAAAACTGAATACAGTCTGTGAATTATGCCAGTGTCATTTTCCTGGTTTTGATATTGTTATTAATAGCGATGCAAGACGCATTAGGAGAAACTGGGTGAAGAGTACACAGGACCACTCAGAACTATTTTTGCAACTTCCTGTGAATCTATAATTATTTCCAAATAAAATCTTTAAAAAGTCATTTAAAAGGTGCTCTGTGTTTTGTTATTTACCAATTTATATAGAACTTTTTTTTTTGATATAAACAGTAAGTCTTTAATATTCTTCTACCAACACAAATAATAAATTAAAAACACAAATAATCATTGTTTCTGGAGCTAAATTATTTTTGATGGTCTTGCTTTGAGTTTAAATGAAGTATTACTTGTTATTGCTATTGTTAACCTGGCATGTAACCCAAACCAAACATCTATTTTTTTTTTTAAGTTGCATTTTTAGGTTTTTGGGTACATGTGAAGAACATGCAAGATTGTTGCATAGGGACACATGTGGCAGTGTGATTTGCTGCCTTCTTCCCCATCACCTGTATCTGGCATTTCTCCCCATGCTATCTCTCCCCAACTACCCTAAAGTAGAACTTTAACTGCATATGACTACACTTCTTCCCAATCCCTGACTCCTCTAATACACACACACACACACACATACACACACACACACACACACACAGCAGTGGGAAAGGAGGGTTGATTGACAGATTTACTTATTTATTTGCCTTCTAAAACAATGATCTTTTTCTGAAGCTCAAAGACCTTGAATGTTGTTTCCCATATAAAGGAGGAGACTGTATTTCAGATAAAGGGCACAAAACAGTATGAGGCCATGATACAAACATTACAGAATCTATTACAAATCCATTTTAATCATCTGCTCAATGCTTCAAAAATATAACTGGGAAACAAAGTGCTATCATCTGCATACTTTACCTGTTAACTTCAACTGTCTTCACAAATTCTATTTTCAGAGCCCTACTCTAATCCAGATACCTAGTATTGGTTCCAGCTGGGATCTTAGAAAAGTATTAGGGTTAAATAACATGTTGACCTACATGTAGTGCTTGGAAGCCAATACAGTATATGGTGTAGTGTGTTCCCTTCTTGGGTGAATTTTATTAAGGGGCATCCTCAGGATGAAAACTCATCATGCAAAACTCTATAGAATTTTCTAGTGTACTTTTGGGGTCCTCATTAATATCATGGAACATTCACCTGTTTTTTCCCTCTTATAAATGACTACAATGATGCAGAAAACCATTTGATGGTTTAATACATACTCATTAGGAGTTAATTACATAAACACAAATATTCAATAGCATAACTATAAATTAAACCATTTTTAACAGGTCATTTGGTAGAAGTAGTTATTTATTTAACCCATCACTGCATACTAATTTTAGAAACATGAAAAGTTTATCAAGATTTACAACCATACAAATCTTTTGGAATACAGCCCTAAACTGAATTACATTTCAAAATATCATACCTGAGCAATGATTTGTTCTCCATCGTTGTATACTTTGGTGCCTATCACATCTACTACTTTCAGGCGTTCAGAAACCTACAAAGAAGAGAGACCATATTAAAGAGAAACAAATTAACTGGGTAAGCTTAGCTATTTTAGAAGTTAAAAACTGGTAGTGTGGCTGGGCACAGTGGCTCACGCCTGTAATCCCAGCGCTTTGGGAGGCCGAGGTGGGTGGGTCACCTGAGGTTGGGAGTTCACCAGCCTGACCAACATGGAGAAACCCCATCTCTACTAAAAATACAAAAAGCAAAAACAAAACAAAACAAAAAACAGCTGGTAGCCCATAGGCCAAATAAATCGCACAGCGTGTAGGTGGTATATATGTTTGTTATATTAATTAACAGCCAGCATTTTAAAATATATTTTTCATAAAAACTGAATCTCCAGCTTCTCTTGAAAAATGCATCACATAGCTGTTGCATATTTCCACACGGCAACAATACAACTATGGTAGAATAGCAGCTGTTTCTTTAATGAAATACATGTTCTCCCATCTGCCACCTGGCTTGGTTTTCTTCTGTGTGTTACCTGCCTAGCTCTGAAAGCACTGGATTTCCAATCCCTGACCTAATTTTATTTAAAGAAATATTATGCTGTTGGAAAAGATCAGCTGCCTACCATGCACAGTGATGTGCACAAAATTTCTACCAGGGATAAGTTCATAATCCAAAAAAGACATTAGAAAAGAGAGGCACCACTATTTTGACACTTGCCATTTTATAAGATGTTGTGGGTACATATATATATGCCCGTCTTTAATTACCCTCAAAATATTTCAAATATGACAGTGAAATAGAAAAGCATTTAATTTAATGATGAAGTATGAAAAATAAATCTCCGAAGATTAAAACCCTAAGAGTTGGTCTCATTGAAAAGACATTTAGGCTAAGAAATGAAAAAGCCCTGCGGCTGTGTAGGAAGACATTCCAGACAGACAGCAAGTATGAAGACCCTGAGGTGGGTGTGGGACAGGTGTGTTTGACCAGTCGCAAGAAGCTGATATGTCTACAGTGAAATGATGAGTGTAGGGCAATAAGAAATGGGGTTGGGGAAAATTGGCGAGGGAGTGGGGCAGATTGTGCAGAGCCTTAGAGGCCATGTGAGGAGGGGCTTAAACAGAGCAGCGCCACAACTAGGGTTTTTTTGTTTTTTGGGGGTGGGGGCGGTATGAGACGAGTCTCGCACTGTCATCCAGGCTGGTGTGATCTCTGCTTGCTACAACCTTCACCTCCCAGGTTCAATTGATTCTCCTGCCTCAGTCACCTGAGTAGCTAGGATTACAGGCACCCGCCACCACACCCAGCTAATTTTTTGGATTTTTAGTAGAGACGGGGTTTTGCCATGTTGGTCAGGCTGGTCTTGAACTTCTGACCTCAGGTGATCTACCCACTTCAGCCTCCCAAAGTGGTGGGATTACAGGCGTGAGCCACTTTCAAATAACAAAACAAATGCAATCATAGATAGCAGAAGAAACACTGAGTTGTAAAAACTAGCACTACCATTTAATCTTTGCAAATAAAAACATGGATAGTTGTTTTTATTCAAAGCAATTTTTCTATAGAAATAAATAATCCTAGAAAAACAGAAACTTAAAGCAAAATTTAAAAAAAGCATTAACATATACTTACCTCCAAAGATTTAAGGAATGGCAGTGACTCAATAAAGCTTTCATACATTTTTCTCTTTTTGGCATTGTTTTTCACAATTATTCTCCTGAAGGTTACCCTGTCCTACAGGCAGAATATCAAATAAAAGACAGTTAAAAGTTAAATTTTAAGTGGGAAGAAGTATATATAAATAGTTTCATTTTATTCCCAAAAGAAACAATGATGGAAGATTCTGAAACAGATTAACATCGTTATATTTTCAGTGCAACTCATTTCATATTTTTATTCCTCAAGCACAAAACATAATACAGAACCATATAAAATACTGTTTTTATTTTTTTTAAAAAAGGAAGCATCTGTTTTACTTTCATATACAACAGAAATCTGACCGACATGTCGGACTATGCCCACAAGGAGGCGCTGTCACAGCATGTTAAAAAAATATATATACTAGCACTGTGTTATTTTACTCTGTGTTACATACACTACGTTCTTTTTCATGTTCACATTCTGTTAAAATTTTCTATTTGAAAATGTGGAAGTATACTCAAAGCAATCATAAATGCTTAAAGTGCTGGGTACTCCATTTACCCTGATGTGATCATTATACATTTACCCTGATGGGATCATTATACATTGTATGCTGTTATGAAAATAGTTTGTGTACCCTCCTATAAATATATACACATATGATGTACCCATGAAAAACAATTTTTTTAATGTGAAGTCACAGAGAAACCACAACTTCGTTTTCGAGTAAAATCTAATTCCAGTGTTTCCCATGTTCACAGTCTAAAATGTTCCTATTTATGTTTATACTACATGCCCTCAAAGATGCAGAACTCAGTTGAGGAACCAGTAAAAATTTTAAGGATATAGCTCAAAAAATTATTTCCCTAAAAATTGTATTCTGAATAATTTATCATAAAACAATATTTTAATTCTTAATAAAAGCCTCAATAATTATGTTAGGTTGGCATTCATTAATAATTACACCATTTTAATAAAGTAAAAATTGGGATATATCATTTAATAAATTACTATACCAACATTTTAATTTTTTTTACTTTAATTTTTAATTTTTGTGAGTACACAGTAGGTATATATATTTATGGGGTACATGAGATGTTTTGATGCAGGCACGTAATGTGAAATAAGTACACATAGAAAATGAGGTATCCATCCCCTTAATCATCTATCCTTTGAGTTATAAACAATACAATTACATTTATTTTAAAACATACAATTTTATTATTGACTATAGTCACCCTATTGTGCTACCAAATACTAGGTCTTATTCATTCTTTCGTATGTCAACATATTAAGATTGAATTTAATGAACTAGTGCAATGGAGAAAAACGCCAACATAGATGAAAATCTCTAGGTGTGATGGACTGAAACCGAATGTTTCTTTCACTCTAAAATCCCTATGTTGAAATCCTAATCACCCAATATAGTATTAGGTGGTGGAGCCTTTGGGAGATGGTTAGGTCATGACGGTGGAGCCTTCAAGAATGGAATGAATGTCCTTATAAAAGAGATCCCGGCCGGGCGCGGTGGCTCAAGCCTGTAATCCCAGCACTTTGGGAGGCTGAGGCGGGTGGATCACGAGGTCAAGAGATCAAGACCATCCTGGTCAACATGGTGAAACCCCGTCTCTACTAAAAATACAAAAAATTAGCTGGGCATGGTGGCGCATGTCTGTAATCCCAGCTACTCAGGAGGCTGAGGCAGGAGAATTGTCTGAACCCAGGAGGCAGAGGTTGCGGTGAGCCGAGATCGCGCCATTGCACTCCAGCCTGGGTAACATGAGCGAAATTCCGTCTCAAAAAAAAAAAAAAAAATTAAAAAAAAAAAAAGAGATCCCAGTAAGCTTCCTCGCCCCTTCCACCACGGAAGAACATAAGCAGAAGACACTGTCTGTTAAACGGGAAAACAAGCCCTCTCCAGACACCAAATCTTCTGGTGCCCTGACCTTGGACTTCTGGGTGTCCAGACCATGAGAAATAAATGTTTGTTGCTTAAGCCACCTGTTCTATAAGAGTTTGTCCAAAAGGATTAAGCAGCCCAAAGGGACTAAGACACTAGGAAATTAAACATCTTGTTTCCCAATTTGGTATTGATATTAGCTGTAATTTTGACTTGTTTTACTTCTAATACTTTTTTTTTTAAAGAAAATTTTACAAGATAATTAACACAAATATTGAAATTATTTCCAAGCCTGGCTCTGCATCAGAATCAGCTATAGTATTAAAAAAGACTTCTAAGACACCAGACCTTAATGACTCAAAATCTCTGAATATAGGGCTCAATAATCTGTATTTCATAAAAGGTCCTGAAGTGATTCTGATATATAATCAGGTTTGGAAATCAGGTATAACATCATTTTATGGACAGAGTTTACTGCAAAACAGAGAAGACCCAAAATAGCTTAATGGTTTAGAAACTAATCATAATCAGTTATAGCTCTCAGAAAGAATTTTCCACTCGTAACCTATCTCTTCACACCCACTGCGACATATAAAGTCCAGAATTTCAAACACTTTCATCCTGAAGCCATTTCAACAATCACCTTTCTAAAGCATCAGTACAGTCAGGAAGATCATGTAAGCCCTAAGGCTAACAGTAAATACTATTTACAGAATGAGGCTACTCTGCAATGGACTTCTCTCTTGGGCTTTGCTTATCTTTACACCTGTATTAATATGGCAGAGCTCCAGTCTGTTAACCTTAAAAGAAAAACTTCTTTTCTACTTGACTCTCCCTGAGAAGGAGTTATAGCTAGGCAAGTTACTCTTAAAAAGCAGGTTTGAAATACTAAGTAATTATGTTAATTATTCTAAAATTTTTAGAAAGCTATGTCAATATGACTATCACAAACTGCCCACTTTTATAAAATTTAATAACATGTGTAAACTACTAAAAATCTCTGAAAATGCTTAATCCTTCTTGGGAACTTATGTATTACATGCACTAGGAAATTCTGGGTCTTTTACACCCAATTAAGGTTCCTGCAAGTGCTAAAAACTATCAATATTCAAAGAGGCCAACCTATGAAATAGTTGATCTTATTCTAAAGACGTGCAAGGAGGCATATTCCTCACTGTGTGACAATCTGACAGTCTGAACCTGAATGGCAACCCTATTGGAATGACTACATTTAAAAAGTAAACCTTCCTTAGTGAGACAAGTCATGGCAGATGCTATATTTATCCCACCACTTTATTGACAGAGAAGCAAACACTTCTGTGGGTCAAGGTGTGCTCTGGTTTGGAGTTTTTCTTTGCTAGCTTTGGATATTCAAATCGTTGACAGTTCTTTTAAAACACTTCAGATGATGGGTTAGTTTCCTTCCACCTGAAACAATTCAGTTTTTCTCCTAAACCTTAAAAAAGTGACTCATCACATTTTTAAATAAGTATATAATAATTGGTTCTAATTAAAAGAAATGTAAAATGTCTTGTCTCTTTGATCAAGAGATTTTTTATCAGCTGAATCAACTTTAGAGTCAAATGCTGAACTGTGACTAAATAATGTGTGACTTCTGTAATGCTATATACAGTAGTCCTTGGAAATGAGGCTGTTAACAAACTTAATTTTTACTTCAACTTCTCTTTCCACAAAAGGATATGAGAGAAATAACCCAATAAATCCTTGTCAAAACTAGTGGGTGGGCTATTTTCAACAATTTTAAAAGAAAATACATACATTATAAACATTTCCCTAACTTGATGCTGTTTGAAGTTTGGCCTGACATCAGGCAGTACTGCCATCTCCTGGTAGCTGATGAAAAATGCAAAAATCACCGGCCTCACCCCAGAACCACAGAATCAGAATCCGCATTTTAACTGCATTCCCAGGTGCTTTGTAAGCACACTAAAGTTTGAGAATCACTACCTTAAATACAATCTTCCAGGATCAGCTTTAGTAGTGCCTAACAATTGCATCCTATCATATGTGAAAATAATCTCTCCCCACCCTCTCCCCTTGCCCAAATACATCTTCAAACCAGCTTTTAGGTCTTACAGGAATATTACATTAAGAAATATATTTAAAAGTACTAATGCACAGGTCCCAGTGCTGAAGATTCTGATAAATTTGCCTGTGGTGGGGTATAGGCAAGGGAATTTTTTTTTTAAATACCTCATTCTGATGTGGGGCCACATGAGCACAGCCACCAAGCATGTTCTCTCTACACATCTGCTTTTAAATGCAGAGCTGTTACCCATCAATTTATAGCACCAACAGCATCCTTTTACATTGGTTTCTCAAACTCTGGATTTCTGATGCAGTAGGTCAGAATCAGTGGGTGGGGCCCCAGAATGGCATTTCTAACAAGTTCCCAGGTGATACAGATGCCAATGTTCAGGGGACCACACTCTGGGAGCCACCAATTTATGAGATGATAAAACCTACCTCAGAAAGCCATCTGAGAAAAAGCACTGAAGGCTGTGTTTGTATGGCTGGTTATTTTCTAAGAGTGGGTAAGACAGGAGCATTCTGAATCTGAGTGTCTTTCCAGGGCCACCAGGTACCTACCTCAGAAAGCCATCTGAGAAAAAGCACTGAAGGCTGTGTTTGTATGGCTGGTTATTTTCTAAGAGTGGGTAAGACAGGAGCATTCTGAATCTGAGTGTCTTTCCAGGGCCACCAGGTCCCAAGCTCCTGGCTGGACTGGAGGGGTGGGAGCAATAGCCTGAGGCTCTGACTTAGTGCAGTCTTCAGGCCAATTCAGCAGTCAGTGGCTGCTTAATAAATTACCTGATGACTGATGATCTTTAAATTAAAATACCCCATGTGGCAATCTGTAACAACTGTCAGAGCATTTGCTACAAATCATAACATTCAGGATAAATAAACATTTTACTCACCAAACCCCACAGAGCACCAGGAGAGGTAGCAGTGATAGTAGCTGCTCTGGGTGTATTGTACATTAAGGCCAGTTCGCCGAAACTCCCACGATTATCATAGTTACCAACACATCTTCCAACACCATCACATTTCACATATATGTCAAATGTGCCTCTGTTGGACATATGTAGATTAGAGGTGAATTCAAGTAAAAAAGATCATTAAGATAAAACATTATTTCAGAAAAGAGCCCTGTGAAATAAAATCTTATTTCCAGCCTGTCTATCCCCTCCGATGACAAATAATAAAGGGGAATCAATCTGTGCCATCTGTTCCAGACCATGTGCTTGCTAGGGAAAATGGGAATAAACGATAAAAAATTATTATAACAAAAAATAAAACTATAACTAAAGATGACAACCAAATAGTACATGCATACAAAAAATCATCTGAAGAGGCTGGGCCTTATGCCTGTACATAGCACTTTGGGAGGTTAGGAGTTTGAGACCAGCCTGGCCAACATGGTGAAACTCTGTCTCTACTAAAAATACAAAAAATTAGCCAGGTGTGGTGGTAGGTACCTGTAATCCCAGCTACTCAGGAGACTGAGGCAGGAGAATCGCTTGAACCTAGGAAGTGGAGGTTGTAGTGAGCCAACATCACACCATTGCACTCCAACCCGGGCAACAAGAGTGAAACTCCATCACCAAAAAAAAAAAAAAAAATCATCTAAAGAGCCTGGGCATGATGGCTTGGAAGTTCAAGGTGGGAGGATCACTTGAGCCCAGGAGTCCAAAACCAGCCTGGGCAACATAGCAAGATCTCATCTCTATAAAAAATTAAACTTAAAAAAAAAAGAAAGAAAATCATCTGAAGAAACATTTATCAAACCATTGACTGTAGTTATCTAAGAGCATAAGAATAGTGAGGGATTCTAGGCACATTTGCTATCTAATTTAAGCGTTTCTGTTTGTAACCTGAACATATATTACTTTTGTAACCTTGAACTTTCACCAAAGTGAAGAAATAAGGACTCAGCTCTGGCTGCTCTGCTGTTAGATTTTAGGACTCATCTACTGCATAAGGCACATTGTTCTATGATGAGGTGAAGTACAACTTAAATTTCCTGAAAGTATATTTTCAACATAAATGCAAGCATTCTTGTTTAAATAATTTCTCTGTGGAGTTCTTTTAAGACAAATATAATGATACACAATTCTTGGAAGGATGCACAAACTACTTACTATACTGACTAGAAAGTAGGAAGACTTACTTTTCACCTTATGTCCCTGTGAAATACTTGAATTTTATTTATTTATTTATTTATTTATTTATGAGCCAGAGTTTCACTCTTGTTGCCAGGCTGGAGTGCAATGGCACGATCTCAGCTCACCGCAACCTCCGCTTCCCTAGTTCAACTGATTCTCCTGCCTCAGCCTCCCAAGTAGCTGGGATAACAGGGGCTAGCCACCACACCTGGCTACTTTTTCTTGTTTTTAGTAGAGATGGGGTTTCACTACGTTGGCCAGGCTGGTCTTGAACTCCTGACCTCAGGTGATCTACCTGCTTCAGTCTCCCAAAGTGCTGGGATTACAGGCATGAGCCACCATGCTCGGCCAATTTTGAATTTTTCAAACCATGGCCATGTTCTACATAGTTTATAAAAGAAATAAACTTTTAAGAAAGAAATATCAGCCGGGTGCCATGGCTCATGCCTGTAATCCCAGCACTTTGGGAGGCCGAGGCAGGCAGATCACCAGGTCAGGAAATCAAGACCATCCTGGCTAACATGGTGAAACCCCGTCTCCACTAAAAATACAAAAAATTAGCCAGGCATGGTGGCACATGCCTGTAGTCCCAGCTACTTGGGAGGCTGAGGCAGGAGAACCACTTGAACCTGGGAAACAGAGGTTTCAGTAAGTGAGTTCACGCACTGCACTTTCAGCCTGTGTGACAACAGAGCGAGAGTCTGTCTCAAAAAAGAAAGCAAGAGATACTGACTGAGGTCCACTGTGAATTAACATTTTAGATGCTATATTATACTGCTGTTCTCATTGTAATAGAAATCTAGTATATACTAATACTATTATATACTATCTCTCAATTAGAATTTAGTAAATGAAGATGCCCACATTAAATGACTGACATTTATAGATGAGACTAACCAAAAAGTCATCAGTTCCTCTATAAACTATACCTCTTTTCATTATGCACTGTGGTTTCACTGCATGTATTCACAACAGGATTACAGTGCCTATTATTTAGTAATAAGAGTGGAGGCAATAACAACTATCCTATATTAACTTGTCAGCTGCTGTAACAGTGGTTGAGATTTTACACAAAAGGTTCTTTAAATTTTAGTAGTAAGGTTGGGCAAAACTTACCTGTCAATTACATAAAAGTTGTCACCATCGTCACCTTGATCAATTACATGCTCCCCATCTTTGACCAATTTTTCAAACATGGCATCTAATACTTGAGACATCTGCTCCTATTTTTAAAAAAGATGAGATATAATCTTTATGTTTATCTAGAACATGTTTTCTTAAGTAATCATAATTATATTTCTGTGAACAAGTCCAAAGAAATGGAAATATCACAACTACCATTAAATATTAACAGGAAAATACATAGTACATACAGTCTTTCTTACCACATACAAATAAGATGATTACATACTCTCATATTTAATATCTGAATGAAAGAAATTATAGTCTATTTCAGAATATTTGTAACCATCACCATTTAAAATGAAAATTTAACCACTGTATGCCTTGTGAAATATAATCTTAGTGACTAAAAAGGATTAGGTTAGTAAGGAATTATTTCAAATTTCTCCTAAAGATACTTATTTTTTAAAGTTTCCGTTTATTAGTCACCACTAGAATACATGTAGAGATAACCTAAACACTTGGTGAATTTAGATCCTTGATTCCAATCTTCTTTTGGTTTAGCACCAAAATCAAAACAGAACAAAACAGAAAAACAATAAAGCAAAACCAAAAATGACTGTGGCAAATATTCTGTGACTATTCACTGTCATTAAGGTTGGGCTCAAGCTGTGACCACTGAGCTCAGTAGGGCAGATTTGTCAGAAACATCAAAAAATACTACTCAACAACTAAGTAAATGATGTAAAATTTTTATTCTGCCGAAGTGTGACTGACAAGGCTCAAACTGATGAGAATAAACTAAGAGGTGAAAGAAATCTTTCACCAAAACAAACACAGAAATAATTCAAAGAACTCTGAAAAGACAGAGTAAGTGGGTATGAGGAAATAATACAGTACAATAGAAAAATCAAAAGACTTAGAGGGTTATCTGTTGTGCTACTTTAATAGCTCTGAGCCCTTGGTAAGCTACTCCTTATGGGTATAAAAAAGGTATAATGCTAACTGCCTATGCCAAAATCAATTCGTATTATAAATAAATTAAGGAATCGAAGATAGATTCAAAGGGAAAAAATGCAAGTGGAAAACACAGGTTGAAGAAACAAGATATTCTGGATGAAGAGGATACAGATCACATGTGATTTTCTTCCTTTTGAGACCCCATAAAGAATGTTACAAGGAATATGAAGATAAGAATCTACAATAGTATAGAGTACAGGAAGGGACAACTGATGGATGAGTTTCAGGGTGAAGGTAATTTACATATGGCAGAGAGAGCTCCCCCAGCTAATGCAGGCGAGACTGCAGTGTGGAGGGGCCAATGTGCCTTGCCGAGCACTGGGAGGTTCCACAGTGGGTAACACCTGTTTCTGCCAGCGTGGGACTGAGACACAAAGCTAAAAACAAGTGGACTGATTTAAAGTCTCACAGAGATTAGTTGACACTTTCCTTCAAAATCCTTCTACACTGATACAGAATCCCTAGCAGCCAAATGTGGACCCCCAACTCTTCCCAGACGAAAGATCAGAGAGAAACTAAACAAATTACAACTAGAACAGATACTGTGAGCACTGGTGCCCTAGAACAATTCACTTGGTAGGACTTAGGGGTTCCCCAATGTAACAGCTGGCTCCCTGTCAGCTCAAGCTAAACAGTGCACTAGTTGACAGGCCTGCCCTACTTACTCAGAGCTCTAAATCAGCTTTATGTTGCTCCCCTGGTAGCCTACAAGACTAAGATAAACAGCAAAATGACAACACATGAGACAGATATTTCAGGAACTGTAGAGAGCTTTTGCAGAGACATTTAAGATGATATTCTATCCATGAGACCAAAAAAAAAAAAAAAAAGGATATTTAGGAAAAGAGCAAATCAGAGAAAAATTGGTAGCTTGGAAATTAAAAATATGATTGTTATTTTTTTTTTTCTTTAAAATAGATTTTTTGGCAGAGCACAGTGGCTCACAGCTATAATCTCACCACTTTGGGAGGCCAAGGCAGGCAGACTGCTTCAGCCCAGGAGTTTGAGACCAGCCTGGGCCACATGGCCAAATCCTGTCTCTACAAAAAATACAAAAATAAGCTAGGCATGGTGGCAAACACCTGTAGTCTCAGCTACTCGGGGAGCCGAGGTGAGAGGATTGCTTGAGCCTGGGAGGTTGAGGCTGCAGTGAGCCGTGACTGCACCACTGCATTCCAGCCTGGACAACACAGTGAGGCTCTGTCTCAAAAAACAAATAAATAAGTAAAATAGACTTTTTTAGGGCAATTTTAAGTTTATAGGAACATTAAGTAGAAAGTACAGATATACTCCACATATCCTCTGTCCCCACACATGGCACAGCCTTCCCCATGATAAACATCCTCCACCAGAGATGAATGATCTACACTGACATCATTATCATTCAAAGTCCACAATTTATATTAGGATTTGCTCTTGGTGTTGTACATTCTATTGGTTTGACAAATATATAAAGATGTGTATCCACTATTACAATTTACAAAAGAGTAAGAAGATAAATTAAAACCAACACCTCAAAAAAAAAAAAGTCAATAAAGAGATGAAAAGGAGTGCCAGAGACAGTAACAGAGAAAAACAAAAAGGAAGAAATAAATACAGGATGAATTTTCTAGAACCAATGGACACAGGTTTTCAAGTGCCCAGCACAATCAATGACCATAAACCCCTATACTAGCATGAAATGATAAAGTTTTAGAGCACTAAAGATAAAAAGATCTGCAAAGCCTCTGGAGGAGAGAAAAAGGCGTTCTTAAAAATATGAAAAGTTGCTCGACTTCTCTCAAAATGAAGAGAAATGCAAATTAAAATTGAAATGAAATGAGATGCCACTTTTCAGTTGCCAGATTCAAAAAGATACAAACGTTAGACTCTCACACCATGCTGGAGACCGTGTGGGAAAGAGACATTCTCACACAGACTTCCGGTGAGAAGGTAAAATGGAACAAACTCTAAAAAAGCAATTTGTCAACATTTAATAAAATTTCAGATATGCATAATATTCCACCTCACAATTCCTCTTCTAGGAAGTTTTTGTTGTTGTTGTTGTTGTTTTATTTCAGACAGAGTTTCGCTCTTGTTACCCAGGCTGGAGTGCAATGGCGCGATCTCGGCTCACCGCAACCTCCGCCTCCTGGGTTCAGGCAATTCTCCTGCCTCAGCCTCCTGAGTAGCTGGGATTACAGGCACGCACCACCATGCCCAGCTAATTTTTTTTTTTGTATTTTTAGTAGAGATGGGGTTTCACCATGTTGACCAGGATGGTCTCGATCTCTTGACCTTGTGATCCACCCGCCTCGGCCTCCCAAAGTGCTGGGATTACAGGCTTGAGCCACCGCGCCCGGCCCTAGGAAGTTATTATATAGATATTTATAAAATGCATCAGCATTTTTCTTTGCATCACAATAGCAGAAGACTGGAAACAAACTAATATTTTATCAACAGGGCACTGGATAAGTAAGTTGTCATATATCCATTCACCAAAAAGCTCTGCTACCGTAAAAAAGCACGTAGGAATTTTCAGACATCTGTCTTCAAAGGAGTCACTGGCAGCGAGAGAATACTTGAAGGGTAATCAAGAAATCTGAAAACCTCCCATGGGGGAATTTCAAGAAACAGGGCATTTAGGTGACAGAAAACAAGTCCTATATAAGAACATGCCAGCTATCTTCTATTCACACCATGACATCAGTAGTTCTAGAGGCCATAACTGGGACTGTTGGGTAGAAGTTTCATGGAGGTTAGCACAATTAGCACAATGTAAAGACCTGCCTAGGAATGAGAGCTGTCTGGCAGTGACAAGGGCTGACTTGTAAAGAGTTCTGCCTTTTCCAAAATGTTAAATAGTTGGAATCATGTAGTACATAGCCTTTCCATGTTGGCTTCTTTCACTTAGTACTATGGCATTTAAGGTTCTTCCATGTCTTTTCACAACTAGATCACTCATTTTGTCCACTGGCTAGATGTACCATAGTTTATTTATCCATTCACATACTGAACAACATCTTGGTTGCTTCCAAGTTTTGGCAATTTTGAATAAAGCTGCTACAAATATCTGTGTACAGGTTTCTGTGTGGACCTAAGTTTTCAACTCCTTTGGGTAAATACCAAGGAGCATGACTGCTGGAGAGTATGGTAGAAGAGTATGTTTAGTTGTAAGAGACACCACCAATCTTCTAAAGTGGCTGTACCATTTTACATTCTCACCAGCAATGAGTTCTTGTACCACCCATCTTCACCAGCATTTGGTGTTGTCAGTATTCTGAATGTTGACCATTCTAATGGGTGTGCTGTAGTACCTCACTGTTGTTTTAAGTTGCATTTCCCTGATGCCATGTGATGTGGAGCATCTTTTCATATGTTTATGTGCCATTTGTATATCTTCTTCGGTGAGGTGTCTGTCAACATCTTTCGTCCATTTTTTAACCTGATTGTTCACTTCTGTTGAGCTCTTTGTATATTTTGGATAACAGTCCTTTAACAGCTGTGTCTTTTGCAAATATTTCCTCCAGTCAGTAACCTGTCTTTTCATCCTGCTGACAGTGTCTTTTGCAGCAAATAAATTTCTACTTTTAATAAGCCCAGCTTCTCGATTCTTCCTTTCGTGGATTGTGCCATTGGTGTTACATCTAAAAAGTTATCACCAAATCCAAGGTCATCTAGTTTTTCTCCCATGTTATCTCCTAGGAGTTTTATAGTTTTGTGTTTTACATTTATGTCTGTGATCTATTTTGAGTTAATTTTTGTGAAAAGTATGAGGTCTGTTTCCAGACTCATTTTTTTTTTCCATGTGGATGTCTAGTTTTTCCAGCTCCATTCATGGAAAAGACTATCTTTGCTTCATTGTGTTACCTTTGCTGCCTTGTAAAAGATCAGTTAACTTAAGTAGGGCTGCTACTAAGTTCTCTGTTCTGCTCTACTGATCAATTCATGCATTCTTTTACCAATACTATACTATTTTGATTACTGTCACTTTATACTAAGTCTTGAAGTCAGTATTCACACTCTAACTTTGTTCTTTTCCTTCAATATTGTGTTAGCTATCCTAGGTCTTTTGCCTCTCCAAACTTTAAGATCAGTTTGT